ATATCAATAATATCATTGAAATTAGTGTTCATATGTCCGAAATGTAAACTGAAAATCGTTATATTGAAAATAAATTGAAGACATACATTTTACTTACATTCTGAAAATGAGTATGATAGTCACTACATAGGGTCGATTCGAAATGTCAAATTGACATCAGGACCAATACGGAATGGACACTTATATTTTCGAAATGCTATCAGAGGTGTCTCCACCAATTGAATCGACCGTAAACAACGAAATCTAATATGCGACTGATGAATGGCTGGCTTGATTCATTATTCTGATGACTAATTAGTTACGTAATCCTTCTAACCGATTAATTCCCGAGCAATAAAATTTTATCTATGACAGATGTTGATATGGTACAGGGGGTGACAAGAAATTCCGGTGGTTTTTCGCAAATATCTCAGGAACCCCTATACTCAGTGTTCTCGAAAAACAGGGTTGCCATGAAAAAATACCGCGATGACGTAGTTTCTCAGACACGAATCATTCTCCATATTATATGGTTTGAATTCGAAATAATGCCCGAATGAAAATAAAATTCGACGGCTTCGAATGTTCTTTCAAATAATTATTTCGAAAATTTTCAAGGAATTCATCCACTACTTGATGGGGGCACTTAATTCAACGGACGCACTGTATACAAAGCCTATGTGTAATATATTTTTGTATTCAGCTTTCCATGAAAATTCCAAAAATTGAATAATATATATGATGTTTCATTCATATCTATAGGGTGTTCAAATACCAAGATATCGGCTGATGATGAGTTTTTTCAAATGGGACACCCTGTTTTCAATTGAATTTTCGAATGCACTATCAAAATTGCTACACAACTGGTTTTTTGTTCTCTATATTTGACTCGACGGTTGCCAAGTTATTCCAATTTTTCCGTGATTAACTGATTTTGTAGAGGCCTATAATAGTTATTTATGTATCACGGGCGTAGAATACGCTTTTATGGACCTTAGCGTATCACTAGGTCCATAACATTTCATGCACGACCGGTATATTTGTTTTTTATTGTGAATATTACTTCTCATAGTCCAAGAGTCGGAAAATGATTGAAAAATTGCACTTTCTTGTGCGGTAATTTGCACTCAATTTTGCGATTTGATAACGAGTTAAGAATTATGCCATCCGATTCCATTCGTTCGGAAATTAGTACTTAAAATGTCACTTTTTATAGAGGTCGACGAAAAACAATATTATTTGAAAAATTCGTTCAAAATTCGATTCACAGACAAACTCGACAGGCCCAGTCAGTCCATCCCTTCGTTGTTAACCTTGAAAGATGTCTAACAACCCTCTACCAAAACTCATTCGTCTATAGGACGGTGAAGCTTTAAAATTCTTTGTCAATGGAAGTATTTCCAAAAACTTACAACCCCCAAAAGCTCAAAAAATATTCCAACACCTCCCTGTCCTCCCTAGGAACGCGCGATGTTCCACGAACATTATAGGAATTTCCTTTCGTGCGTTCCAGGAGATAAAAAACTAATACATGCGTGTATCGAAACTATTCCTATCTCTGTCACACTCATTGAGCATATGGAACTTCTGAACGCGAATATCTTTGTAATAGTTTGAAATAACCCTATCAAAGCAGGTATTATTTCGTTTCAATAATTCCTAGTCGATTATAGAATAAAATACAGTGTGTTCCATTCCATGGGTTAAAGTTTAAATATAGTTTTATATTAAACTCTCGCCTGATAAATAATTATTTGAAAATTGAAAGTTGATGCTCTGTAGTGAGCATATTCGATGTCCCAAATTTTGGAAATATAACAAGAAAAACAAATGAGAAAAGGGGGGCATATCATGAGTTTGGGTCAGCTGGTATTGGTGAAGAAAGCGAATTTCAAATTTTTTCAACGCTATATGGATATATCGAAGAAAAATACCAACCACGTGATGAATACCATCATATTTATATAAAAAAACACTCACCATCTCGAAAAAATACAACTTTCACACACTCAAATGAAAATGCAATCACTCAATTTTCCACTCGATTAATTCGCGTTCATTTTTATACACTTTAATCGACCGTACACGATGAAATCTATAACGAGACTGCTGATTGGTCTGATTCACAATTCTAATGACTAATTAGTTACGTCATCCTTTCAACCGATTCATTCCCGAACAAGTATGAATAAATCCGATATTATCGATAGTATGTTTACGGGGTGGGATGAAAAGATATTCAATATACATACAGTGTCACCGTTGAAGTCCGCATCATATTGGATTATTTTATCATTCAGTTTGTGCAAACCAGGGCAGTTCTTACTTTGGGAATACTTTGAGAATGTAGTTCATGATTTTTTTTAATCGATAGCTGTCGAATCAGACATTTTCAGTCAGAAAATACAAAGTCAAAAATTCATCTTTCGAATATAAACGCTTTTAAAGTGGCACATGAATCCATTATTAGCTGAAAGAACATAGGGGTAATCCGAAATTTGAAAAAAGGTTAGATATACCATTCAAAAAACTACCAAGAAGTCATCACACGATCGAAGTTATTATGTTAGATAATCTCAAAGGCAGTAAATTGAGATAAAAAGTCTACTTATTTCAACTACGATTTTGGTTTCACCTGTATAAAACTTTCCACAAACACAAGGTATACTGTAAATACAATTTTTTGACGATTGTTCTTCATTTTTCGGCTTTGTTTGAGTTAGAATTGATCTCATTGTATTTTCAGTTATGAACACAGTTTTTACTTGAAATTTATCACCAACACGTTTTTTTCAGATATGCCGGGAATGTATGGTATTATATTTTTCGTTATTGATGGTTGATGTTGTTGTGGTTGACCCTGTCTGTTTTCAATTTGATGAATCGTCCTATCGACAAAATTCTTTGGATAGGAATTGAGTTGGAGAACATTTTTAATGTAGTGGACTTCGTTATTGAAAACTTGTTGGTCAGATGATATTGAGTTGGCTCTATCATGGAGTGATTTGATTATTCCTTTCTTAATACTTTTCTGATGATTTGATTGAAAGTTCAAGTATATTATGTTAGAATGGGTCTTTTTACGATATACATTTGTTACAAAGATGTTATTTGATTTTTCAATAAGAACATCTAGAAATGGTAACTGATTATTAGATTCAATTTCTAAAGTGAACTTTATGGTAGGTTCGGCATTGTTCACATAATCCAGAAAATTATCTAGCTCCATAAGGTTATGTGGCCAAATTATGAAAATATCATATACGTATCGCCACCATGTTTTAGGTTGATTTTGGTAATTTTTGATGATGTCTTCGAAATTCTCCATAAATATATTGCTTGAAATTGAAGATAATGGCGATCCGATGGCCATTGCAAAGTTTTGTTGGTAAAGCTCATCATCCAATTGAAAATATGTTGTTTTTAGACACAATTCCAAAAATTCCATTATTCCTTCGATACTTAGATTACTTCTTTCAGTGAGACTTTCATTGTCTTCTAATTTATGTTTCACTATTCATAAAGTTTTTACTATTGGAACATTTGTGAATAAACTTACTACATCAAAACTAACGAGAGTATCACAACAAACCTCCACATTTTTATGGACTTCCAAAAATACACAAACCAAATGATCCATTGAGACCAATCGTTAGTTCAATTGGATCTCCATGTCAAAATTTAGCAAGATTTCGTTCGAATATCATCAATCCTATTTCAGGAAAAAGTGAGAGTTACGTTAGAAATACTCCTCATTTCTTAGAAAAGCTTAATGACATCCATGTCCGAGGGGTTTTCCACATCTGCGATACTCTGACCCAAAACCCCGATGTCAAGTTTTCGATGGGCCACCCTGTATACAATACAATACAATATTTTATTCATCCCAAATAGATCACTTTACAATGATATAGGATATGTCATAAAAATTTATATAGGTATCAATACAAAATACAATATATAACACATATGAAACGTTCACTTTTGTAGATATGTAAAGAAAAATCGAAGAAAGGAATAAAGTGGGAACATTATATAACACAAGATCACAAACAATAAAAACATTTTAAAATTTATAATTGAGGAATTCATCGTTTGAATAAAAACCCTCAGAGGCTAGTAATGTCTTGACTCTTCTTTTGAAAAGGTGGAGTGAAGTTATTGTTTTAATTTCGGTAGGCAGACAGTTGAAATACCTTATACCAGAAAATGAAGGTGATTTTTCGAATAAAGTTGTTCTGTGTTTTTTTGTTCTGAGCAAGTCACCACTTCTTGTTGGATATCTGTGGAACTGAGAGTTTGTTTGTAACTTACTTTGCATTTTTTTTATATATACAACACAGTGATATATGTAGATACATGGTGTTGTAAGTATTTCGAACTCCTTGAATTTGGGTCTACATGAATCGGTTCGTTTTAAATTGAATATAAGTCGTATAACACGCTTTTGAGCTATGAATACTCTGTCAATGTGGGTGCTACTTCCCCATAAAATGATGTTGTGAGATATAATGGTATAGTACACGTCAATAAGGGCATTTTTGTCAAGTATATTTTTCAATTGAAACATTGCATAGAAGTTTGAGCTCAGTTTTTACAGACTGAGTTCACATGCGTTTTCCAGCTGATATTATTATCGACAAATGTTCCTAAAAATTTGGTAGATTCAGAAGAAGTGATACGCGTATCATTAACAAAAACTTCAAGTGTTGTCCCTATCTTTCTTCCATAAAACTCAATAAGTACTGTCTTTTCGGCATTAATCATCAGCCTGTTATTATGACACCAAGTAACAAACCTGTTGGCAGTTGAATTTATTTTATTTTCGAGTTCCACGGTACTGTCTGCTGCCTCCGCGATAGATGTGTCATCGGCAAATAGTACTAAACAACCCGCATCAATGAATTTTGAAATATCATTGATGAAAAGTGAAAATATCAAGGGTCCTAAAACCGATATCCCTTTTATGAACAATAATGTTTCTTGGGGTAATGAAGACAATCAACATCACCGAATTTCAGGTGAAAGACGGCGGCAAGGGCGTGCGGAGCGCCTACAAGGGCCTGCGCTCGAAGCTGAAGGACAGCCCGGGGGGCCAACAGGTGGGAAACGGCGTTGAGCACCGCTCGGCGCCCAATTCGCCCACCGGCAAGCGCAGGACCGCCCCAGCGGGATTCGGACCGCCCGCGGCCACCTACCGCAAGGAGGGCAAGAGGGCGGTCAAGAGTGGCGGCGGACAAAGGTCAGTGTGGGAATATCGTAGATGGTTTCTGTGACCAAATCGGCCCGAAATATTCCGGAGATATAGCACAGAAACGGTGATACCAAGCGTATTTGTCGTACGTAGTTTTTATAAAAGATCGGACCGAAAATTCGGGAAAGTCAACGGATAGCAGTTCGTCGGAATCAACCAGTGTTTGATTTGAACGATTTAAAAACGGCACAGTTCGCCGAAATAGTGTAATAGTGTGTTTGTTTTCAGACCTCTACAACAGTCAGCCTACTAACAATGATGACAGTACAATGATAACAGTACAGAACTACTTAACTGCCTTCTCACTTGGGTACACGCAGTTATAAATAATATGTTGTCTAAATAAGGTAGAACTCATTACTTTCAGTACTTTTGTATACAAAAATAAAATATTAATTTTTAGATTTTCCTATTTTTCACATGAAAACTATGCATATACTCACCTTAATGTGACACATAACTTTTCCTTGAGAGAAATAGGAATCGGATGCTTATTCGTAGGTAGCGAACTGATTTCATACTTTACACGATTCAGTAGATCATGGAATAGTGATGGAGTTGAACAGAAAATTGAATTTTGTATCATTATCCGAAAGAGGCTTCAACTCTTACGACTCATAAACTCCTTTTTTGGCGCTTTTCTCAAACATATTCAAAACTTTATTGTTTTTAGTACATACTCCTAATAACGCATTCTCATCATCGTCATCATGTTCTTTTAAAATCATAGCAATAAAAAAATCCATTTTTTATTTTGCCGCAAACACCCTACGAGAAGACTGAAATATAACGAACATTTACCAAACTTTTCTTCAGACAAACCACACATAGATGAAACTTCTGAACGAACTGGATCCGGCGAATATCCACGTTCTGTACGCTGATATTCGCCGAAATATTTCGGGCCGATCTGGTCAGAGAAACCAGGCCTTTAAACCATTGTGGTGCATCTGTTCCACTTTCTCTCAGGCTCAGTAGACCAGGGTTACCACCAGTGACGGCTCGTGCCCTCAGAACCTGGGTCAGCCAGGGTAGATGTTGCTCCAGTTCGTCAACTCCATTTTTAGTTTTGAATGAAATGATAATAAATGGCTTACCAGATCATACTACCTCTCTTATGCTCGCCATGGCTATTTTAATTTCTTTCTGCTAAATCTGAAACCCGAATAAACTATGTTCACACGACACACCAAAAACGAAAAGCACCACAATGACTAATAACAAGCCACCCCACTGCTTTCTGGTAGGTCGGCCGGCCGTACCTCCGTGTATTGTCAAGTGTCCATAAAATGTTTCCCGAGGTGAAGGCTTAAGTTTATTACCGATACATGCGTCTTTGAACATAAATAATATTCTAGAAGTTCCATACATTTTCATCAGAGTTTTTGTACGATGTTTTAATACTTGGCTCTTGGACTGCTGACATTTGTTTTGCCATATTATTAGTCACATTACATACAATATTCGAGTTATACTTGAATCATGGCAGCTCAGAAGCCCTGAAGGTAAATCAGTACCTACTGAACCAGGCGATACGTCGAGAGACAAGAAACCACCGATCGGCCAGCCGACTGCAGTATTATAATGAGCTATTGGGTAACCTAGTAACCAGATGTCGTAGTTCGTGATTTCAGGTGCATATTCAGATGGCTTACCCAAAGGTTTCTTTGCATGAAATTCAAATAATAGTGTCCTAAAATAGTAGCATAAAAAACGATCAATATTGAAAACAGTTTAGAAAAATAATTTTATTCATAAAATAGTTCAGTTTTTTTCCACAAATTTTCTAGTACGACCCTGCCGTCCCTGACGAGCCGTCACTGGCAACCACGCAGACCCACCTTTAATATTGTTTTTTTGTGGGTTTCATCAATGAACTAGCCGATAAAGACATATCGTGCAGAGTGTAATAACAATAACATTTTACTTTATGATCATTGTGAGCATTCAGTGGAAGGCACCCTATTTGTCTTGACAAATACAACCCGAATTAATATTCTGTCAACAAAATCGTCTCATTTCTAATGTGGGACGGTGAATCACCGTCCGCGATGATTCAAATAAAAATTTCGTTTTTGACAGATCGTACAGCCCTCTGAGTCCATCTTCGCAGCCCGTTTCTCCCGACTCTTCGGACACCCCTAGGAGTAGCAGTCCCATCGAGATACCCCAAATCGATTTGATGGACGAGATGGACGATTTGTTTCAGCTCAGGCTCGATATGCCTCCAATAGATAGAACAGTAAGCGAATTTATATTGGTTTCATCTAAGACCGAAGTGTTATTAGCTTTGTCCGTACATTTCGTAACTAATAACCAATTTATCTTTTGATGAAATTCAGTGACAGTTGATTGAAGTATGACAAAAACGATCGCTGACTATCACACTATAACTAGACTGCTAATGCTATTAGACAAAAGCTCATTAGAAGATAGAACTTGTCATATATTTTGTCGAACTAGCTGGATCTTCTCTTGCACTGAATGTTATTTATTTATTTATTTATTTCAGTTATTGCATTACATTCTCTTTTCTAGTAGGAATGACATGAATGATCAGACAGTAATTCCTGGTATAAGATCATTCATGAAGTATTATCGACTGTTGTATAATTGAAATTACAAATAGTGAACAAAACTTACATATCATTAAGATACAGTCATATTATAGTCTTTATTTATCATATGAATTGAACTAAGGTTGAGGCTTCTCAAAAACCATGCAGTGGATATTTGGGTCAAAACTGGTACACTGTCCAGTGTAGGACCATAAAGCTTGAGTGTGGAATGCTTTTAGTCAGGGTAGAGGTGGTTGAGATCGGAAAATATCGATACTAAAATTTGTTCTAAAATTTGTTCTATCCGTCATTCGGTTGCCCCCTTACGAGCAACCCTCAAAAGTCTTCGAAAGTCTTGTGCGAGCAAGGAATGACGGGGGCCTTACCTTTTAACGTGTGATCCCAAACACTTTCTTGGGCCATCAAAAAAATTTCTGCAGTCGACGGGGATCGAACCCACGACCGGCAAGCGAATGCGAATTAGAATATAGACACTCTGTCCGCACGGCTACCTGGCCACCGAGTATTTACAGGGTGTCCTTAAAAGGTCTTTACAGAAACTTACCACATATTCCTCAGAACAATTGGATACAAGTAAAGTTACCTCAGTACAAAGTTGCTTAGTTTGGGCGCTAAACGGCTCTGAAGTTACAATTTTCAAACAGTTTATGCTTCATAATTTTTAAACGGCTTATGAGATTTTCCATAGGCGTAGAACTTAATTTTTTTCAGTGAATAAACATCTGAAACTTCTACGCCAATGAAAAGAAAGTGGTTTGGATATGAAATTTGGATTGCGTAACTTGTTCACTACAAAATAAGTACTCTTGATAAAATTCGATTACCCTCATGGTTTTGACAAAATTTGAATTTTAGTAATTCGAAGCATTAGTTAACATTGAAACGATTAACAGATATGTTATGAAAATTGTTCAATATGTTGATCTTTTTCACGTATACGGCGAAAAAATGGATACAAGCAAATAATACACCTCGGTACATAGTTGCTCAGTCTGGGCACTAGACGGCTCTGGCTGACTCAGTACAAAAAAAAAACAACAAAAACTAGTTCATAGTGTATTTCAATTTTTTTCGTCGTAAAAATCTTTGTATATGTGAGTAGTTTGGACTGAGGCTTTGAATTACTAAAGTTCAAATTTTGTCGAAATAATGAGAGTAATCAAATTTCATCAAAAGTACCTTTTTTGTACTGAACAAGTTACGCAATCCAAATTCTTTTTATTGAAAAAAATAAAGTTCTACGCCAAAGGAATGATATTTATCATTATCTTGATATAGGTTTCATTGCCCAATAAAGTTATCCCAAAGTGCCAATTTTGAGTAGAATATCATTTGCCGGTTCAAAGTTAGGAAGCAAACACGATTTGAAAAATGTAACTTCAGAGACATCTAGCGCCCAAACTAAGCAACTTTGTATTTAGGTAAAATTCCTTGTGTCGAATTGTTTTGGTCTGAGGAATATGTGGTAAGTTTTTGTAGAGACCTTTTGAGGACACCCTGTATATAAATACGTTCAAAGTTGGTGTCGATTGTAACCGTTAATACTTTTGACCATTGACAGTGTGATACTTCATATTCATACAGTACAGACACTCAATTCATGAAAATAAATCCAATATTTCAATAGAGTGGAGGTATTATAGTTGCACTCAGTATTGATATATCGATACTGTGCCGAGTATTGGTATATCGATATTCTCCTAATTCAGTATCAAAGTATCGGTATCGTATTTTCCGATTCGAGATAGAAAATAAGCGTACGCCACCTATCGGAGTCCTTGAAAGCTGTCAAAGCGGCATGTTTACTTTGTTTTCATTGGTTCACATTTGTTTTTTGTTTGTGCTTATTGGTCATATCATCAAAAGAAACCGCTCTGAAGTGTTCAAGTTGCTGCCAAATTTTGTGTTGGTTTTTCAGTGTGGGCAATGTGGAAAATGTGATTGAAGTGATGGTGATATTTCGTTTTCTCCCATTGCTACTTTTCAGCATCTGCTTTGATGATGGAAAATATTCAATATTTTATCACTTTTGCGTAGAGATTTTGTTACAGAATACATCCTAAATACGAGGTGTTTTTGAAACGAGTAGGTACATATATTCAGCCCATTGATTTGATATAGTCTAACGAATATTCCCAAAATATGAGATTTTTTCTAATTCTTTGAATCAACGAAATTCCATCCCGAATATTGAACAAGAAACGGAAAAAATCAAGTAAGAACGCCACTTCAAAAGAGGGGGTGACGTCAGAATTGTTACAGAGTAGAACTTTGGGTGGAAAAAGGGGTCTCACCCCAAATTTCATTTTGATCCCTATATTTTTTTATTGGTGCCATTCGATATTATATGTCATATGTCAACCTGTCTTAGGGGTTTGAAATATTTGTATTGATTTCAATGACACCCTGTATATGATTGTAGAGATGAACAGGGTCTTCACCAATGATTTGAATCCACGTGACATAACTATACAACTAAGAATACATTTTTTATTTCGTTAAAGTGTGTGGAGGAAAGAAATAAAAACAGCCAGTTAGTTACCTTGTTTTTGAATAAATACACAGTCGAAAAGAATAAATCTTTCTCGAAGGATTCCCATCATGTGTTGTGTTGGGATTCCCATTTTTTTTAATGATTATTCTTTAGCGAGCGAATGCGCATGTGTCCATAATGTATCACGTGATTCACTGTGACCTTAATTCTGGGATGTGCCTTTTGAAATGACGGCCCATTTAGTTTTGGCGTGTTTATGTGTGTGTCGCATAGACATATAAAAAGAGGAGAGACGAAATTGTTTATATTTTGTTCCGATCCAACTTCGTTTTCAGCAGAAAACAATGATGACAAATGTCTGTGGATTGCCCTAGATCTACCACCTGTGTTTGAAAAGGGGGAAACATATAATAATAGTAATAATAATAATAATAATAAGAATAATAAAGTTAAATCAAAATATTACATGATATAAATTAAAAGCAAACATATTATTGGAATTGAATAATCACAGAAATCCTTAATATATAGATTTATATATATATTCATTCTGTATGTTTGTTCCATAATTGAAACATGTGAATTCTGCTATTGAAATGATTTAAATTTCACTAATTTCATCATTACATGAAATTATAAAAGGCCTGTTCGTTTGTGTTTGTGTGACAACTATGGGAACAAAATCAACTTTAGCAGGTTCAGCAACACAAACGAACAGACCTAATGTATTATGGAAATAAGTGTGGCAACTCTGTATTCGCGTATTTACCACGGGCTGCGCATAATTTTCTTAGTCATTCAAATATGTCAAAATCCGATGTTACAGTGTTGATGTGCTGTGTTTGTTACCATTTTAAGACTTTTTCTGTTTCAATTGATTTTCAGTATTATCTTGTTATGAAACTATAGGACCCATACAAACCCCAAGGTTATATGTTTAACTTGAGCAGTGGTCTAGTTATCGCAGGTTATTCAACTGTATAGTCATTATAGTAAAATTGTCTTGCCTATCGCTAAAATTGCGCGACTAATGACGGAACGGACAGTTTTCAGTGTTGCCATTTTTCAAAGCAATCTCTTTCTATTTTTTTATGTATGACAAATTGATATTCTTCATACAGGACGTGGAAAGAATTTCAGAATTGAGAATTTCTTTACACTTCCTGTATGATGAATATCAATTTGTCATACATCCAAAAACAAAAGCATACCCAGACGACAGGTGGAGTTGAATGTCAACAAATAATAATTCTGAGATGTCAGTTTCTTATAATTTTAGTTATATCATAGAGAGATGAAAATTGTGTATTACATGAAGAATGGCTGAAAGAATAACTTCAGGTTACTGAGTAGGATTTGATACTGGAAATGAGTTTATTGGAATAAATTCATATACCTGTTTGTGAGAGATAATATTCCAATATCACTAATACAAATGATTTTTGCAAGTTTCAAGCTCATCAAGATCAGAGTTTATACCAGTATACTTCTCCTATACATTTCAATGTTCATTTCAATACTGAATATATTGGTAAGTTATACTTTTATATCATCATACATCATATTATTTATGCGATTTGAAAGAGGTCAATTCTCAATTTCAGAGGATTTTTATTTTCATGTTCTCCTTCTGGCTGTTCAACAGATATAAATCAATGTTCGACGTGGCAAATGGCCAGGAAAGTAGTTGTCTTCTGTTGAATATTGAATGATAATATGTGCTTATATATTTTTATCTTAAGGAGAATGCAAATTCTCACCTTCAGAAGATTTAATTTTCAAATTATTTTCGGGTGTGCAATAGATATACGTATACAGGGTGTCCCTAGACCAGTGGGACAGTTGAATATCTCCTGAACCAATAGGAATTTTCGAAATATTTTAATTCCACATCATATCGCATCATGAGTGCTATCTTCAGGAATGACTATATTTTCTACGAGGGGCACAAGAAAGGCTCACAAAATCGAACATCAATTTTTTCAAATAGAACACCCTGTATTTTATTGCATTTTCATGATCTCCTTGAAGAGCTGAATTCAACGACCTAGCACACTTGGGCTCTAGCGGGAATGATTTCCGAGATATAGGGTGTGGAAAATCGAGATTTTTCAGTTTTGGGAATTTTTTGTGTCAAAACTATTCATTATTGGTCAAAACGGCTTACATGTCCATATCTTAACATTTGATTTACTATTCACTCGTATTCAATTGAAACAAATACAGGGTGGTGTGGAATTCTGACTGAACCTGAGAATTCTACACCACCCTGTATTTGTTTCAATTAAATACGAGTGAATAGTAAATCAAAAGTTAGGATATGGACATGTTATCCGTTTTGACCAATAATGAATAGTTTTGACACAAAACATTCCCAAAAATGAAAAATCTCGATTTTCCACACCCTATATCTCGGAAATCATTCTCGCTAGAGCCCAAGTGTGCTAGGTCGTTGAATTCAGCTCTTCAAGGAGATCATGAAAATGCAATAAAATACAGGGTGTTCCATTTGAAAAAATTGATGTTCGATTTTGTGAGCCTTTCTTGTGCCCCTCGTAGAAAATATAGTCATTCCTGAAGATAGCACTCATGATGCGATATGATGTGGAATTATAATATTTTGAAAATTCCTATTGGTGCAGAAGATATTTAACTGTCCCACTGGTCTAGGGACACCCTGTATAATTCAATGTTCGTCGTGGCATATAGGCTGGAAAGTAGTTGTTTTCTGTTCAATATACCGAAAAAGAATTAATATTTTCATCACATAGAGGATGCGAATTCTCAATGTATTTCTTTATGGATGGCCTATAGAAGTATCTGGAGAACGAAAAGACAGAACATTCTGAAAATTGGGATGCTTTGATAATTGAACATTCTCTACTCGCCTAGAATGTTTTCATCGATACAGTCTTGCCACTTCTCAGAAACAACTAGCAACTTTGTTATTTCAAATGGGACACCCTGTATTTTATTTTTATGAATGAAATGTGATTCTCCCCTCTTTTTATATGTCTCTGCTGTGTCGCTTATCACCCCTCCCGCTCGCTTGCTTGCAGCTGAAACCGGTCCGCAGCCTGGAGAATTTCAAGACCGCCCCCGCCCGCTTCTTCCCGCCCCACCTGGGTGGGTCGCAGGAGACGCGGAACCTGTTGCGGTCGCCGCCCGATGACGCGTTCGCTTCCCCGCCCCCTTCGGTGCCGCCTCGCGCGGACTTGTACGGGGGCGGGGCGGGGTTCGTGGTGGGCGGGGCGAGCTTCGTGGTGGGCGGGGGGCGGGGCGAGAACGGCGAGCCGCTGTTCTATGTCGCCGACAGGCACTCGGTCGATTTGGTCAAGCTGTCGCCTCCTGTGTGTTCGCCTAGACGGAAGGTAATAAATATCGTTGGTGCATCTATTTTTTTTCGAATTTGATCGTTTCTTGTCAGTTTTTGATCCCATTTTTTTGTTCAGAATTGTGTAATTTTCGTGAATTCCCATACTTGTCAGAATTTTATCGATTTGTTTTACAGGTGGTTACTATCTTTAAGAGTTTGGACACTGTCAGTTATGGCACTTTTTTCTCGATTCTGGTTAGAATTTGATACTTTTTCTTCAAATGAGGACATAGGGTATAACATGAAGTTATAGTCATGTTGTAGCCATCTAGTGGCAAAGCTCTAAGGTAGGATACAGAAATCACGACACACACTGTATGGCGCTGCCATCTAGTCACACGTACAGACCCCTACGTCTATAGGCTACAGAGTGGTACTACAAGTGAACCACTCTGCTGACAGATGGCACTACCTGACATACTTGAGTGGAGTTTTTCCACCACCTATTCCACTGCTAGATCTCATAACTAAGAGATCCAGGATGAACAGAGTCATGTTCATCCTGGATCTAACTTTAATTTGAGTTTTTTTACTTGTTTGCATGTAGAAAATCGATAAAACAGACTTCAGCCTATCCGACAAAATTTTGGGACTGACACAGACCTCACGTTCTAGTTACGCCATCTGGTGAGACTGAAAATGTTAGCCACCATTTGAACACTTTGTCAGTGATGTCGGTCACTTTTTTCTCAGATTTTTTTAGAATTTGGTAACTTTTTTTCGGAATTGGAACACTGAAATACTTGTGCTATTTTTTTGTCAAAATTTGATAACTTTTTCAAAGATAGATCACTCATTCACACATTTCATTATATTACTTATCTCAAAATTTGGTAAATTTATCCAGTATTGATCAGAATTATATTAATCGTACATTTATTATACAAAATTTCGTCAATATTGTTAGGTTTTGATGACTTTATAGAAAGTTTGTTAAGTCTTTTTGAGAATCAGATATTTTCTACGGGAGAATTTGGTTTGTATTCATTATGGCGTTGTCTAGTGCCGCAACTTCAGAATTTGGCAACTTTAAGACTGAATTTGGTTTCATAGATCCCTTAAAATCATCGTCTTTGAACACCACCCCCGGTCATTCCAACCACCTACCGCTATCGACCTAACCCCCTGTAATCGTACGAGAACCACACCACCAAACGGGAGTGGACCACCAGAGGACACTTCCCAATGGTATTTGGTCAACTTTTTTCAGTATTTATTAGAATTTGGTCACTTTTTCTACAGAGACTGGGATTTATTGTCAAAATTTTGTCTATTTAAAATTTCTTCTATCAAGTTTTGATTACTTATCTGAGGGTTTGAAAAGTTGTTTCAGAATCAGATATTTTCTTGGCCAGAATTTGGTATTCATTATGGTTATATCTAGTACTGCAACATTTTCTTCAGAATTTATCCACTTTTTGACTGAATTTGCTCTCCATTGTGGCATTTCATAGACCTGTAGAGAAATTTAAATTATCATTGTTCAGAAAAACGAAGAGTCTGAGGACCTAATCCGACTAGACTCTACCTCGGACATTGACGACTTCGATCCCTTAAAATCATCGTCTTCAACCACCACACACGGTCATTCCAACCACCTGCCGCTGTCGATCACCAACCCCCTGTACTCGTACGAGAACCACACCCCCAAACGGGAGTGGACCAGCAGAGAGGACACTTCCCAATGGAATTTGGTCAATTGCTTTCAGTATTCATCAGAATTTGGTCATGTTTTCTTCAGAAACTGTGTTTTCTTGTCAGAATTTGATCACTCGTCAAAATTTGGTATATTTATTAAAAATGTCTTCTATTAGGCTTTGATTACTTAACTGAGGGTTTGTTGAGATTTTTTCAGTTTCAGATATTTTCTTCGCCAGAATTTAGTATTCATTATGACGATGTTTAGTACAGCAACTTTTTCTTCAGAACTAAGCCACTTCATGACTGAATTTGGTCTTCATTGTGGCATTTCATAGACCGGCAGAGAAATTTAAATTATCTTTGTCCAGAAAAACGAAGAGTCTGAGGACCTAATTCGACTAGACTCAACCTCAGACATGGATGACTTCGATCCCTCAAACGGGAGTGGACCAGCAAAGAGGACACTTCCCAATGGAATTTGGTCAATTGCTTTCAGTATTCATCAAAATTTGGTCATGTTTTCTTCAGAAACTGTGTTTTCTTGTCAGAATTTGATCACTCGTCAAAATTTGGTATATTTATTCAAAATTTCTTCTATTAGGTTTTACTCAACTGAGGGTTTGTTGAGTTTTTTTTCAGAATCAGGTATTTCCTTCGCCAGAATTTGGTATGGCGTTTTCTAGTATTGCAACCTTTCCATCAGAATTTAGCCACTTTATGACTGAATTTGGTCTCCATTGTGTCATTTCATAGTCCTGTAGAGAAATTTAAATTCTCTTTGTCTAGAAAAACGAAGAGTGAGGACCTAATCCGACTAGACTCAACCTCGGACATGGACGACTTCGATCCCTTGAAATCATCGTCTTCGACAACCACCCCCGGTCATTCCGACCACCTCCCGCTGTCGATCACCAACCCCCTGTACTCGTACGAGAACCACACCCCCAAACGGGAGTGGACCAGCAGAGAGGACACTTCCCAATGGAATTTGGTCAATTGCTTTCAGTATTCATCAGAATTTGGTCATGTTTTCTTCAGAAACTGTGTTTTCTTGTCAGAATCTGATCACTTGTCAAAATTTGGTATATTTATTCAAAATTTCTTCTATTAGGCTTTGATTACTTAACTGAGGGTTTGTTGAGATTTTTTCAGTTTCAGATATTTTCTTCGCCAGAATTTAGTATTCATTATGACGATGTTTAGTACAGCAACTTTTTCTTCAGAATTTAGCCACTTCATGACTGAATTTGGTCTTCATTGTGGCATTTCATAGACCGGCAGAGAAATTTAAATTATCTTTGTCCAGAAAAACGAAGAGTCTGAGGACCTAATTCGACTAGACTCAACCTCGGACATGGATGACTTCGATCCCTCAAACGGGAGTGGACCAGCAAAGAGGACACTTCCCAATGGAATTTGGTCAATTGCTTTCAGTATTCATCAAAATTTGGTCATGTTTTCTTCAGAAACTGTGTTTTCTTGTCAGAATTTGATCACTCGTCAAAATTTGGTATATTTATTCAAAATTTCTTCCATTAGGTTTTACTCAACTGAGGGTTTGTTTAGTTTTTTTTCAGAATCAGGTATTCCCTTCGCCAGAATTTGGTATGGCGTTTTCTAGGATTGCAACCTTTTCATCAGAATTTACCCACTTTATGACTGAATTTGGTCTCCATTCTGGCATTTCATAGTCCTGTAGAGAAATTTAAATTCTCTTTGTCTAGAAAAACGAAGAGTCTGAGGACCTAATCCGACTAGACTCAACCTCGGACATGGACGACTTCGATCCCTTGAAATCATCGTCTTCGACAACCACCCCCGGTCATTCCGACCACCTACCGCTGTCGATCACCAACCCCCTGTACTCGTACGAGAACCACACCCCAAACGAGAGTGGACCAGCAAAGAGGACACCTCCCAATGGAATTAGGTCAATTTTCTTCAGGATTTATTAGAATTTGGTCACTTTTTCTACAGAGACTGGGTTTTATTGTCAAAACTTTGGATATTTAAAATTTCTTTTATCAAGTTTTGATTACTTATCTGAGGGATTGAAAAGTTGTGAATTTGGTATTCATTATGGCGATGTCTGGTACTGCAACTTTTTCTTCAGAATTTAGCCACTTTATGGCTGAATTTGGTCTCCATTGTGGCATTCCATAGTCCTGTAGAGAAATTTAAATTCTCTTTGTCTAGAAAAACGAAGAGTCTGAGGATCTGATCCGACTAGACTCAACCTCGGACATGGACGACTTCGATCCCTCAAACGGGAGTAGACCAGCAAAGAGGACATTTCCCAATGGAATTTGGTCAATGGCTTTCAGTATTTATCAGAATTTGGTCATGTTTTCTTCAGAAACTGGGTTTTCTTGCCAGAATTTGATCACTCGTCAAAATTTGGTATATTTATTCAAAATTACTTCTATTATGTTTTAATTTCTCAACTGAGGGTTTGTTAAGTTTTTTTCAGAGTCTGGTATTTCCTTCGCCAGAATTTGGTATTCATTATGGCGTTTTCTAGTATTGCAACCTTTTCATCAGAATTTACCCACTTTATGACTGAATTTGGTCTCCATTCTGGCATTTCATAGTCCTGTAGAGAAATTTAAATTCTCTTTGTCTAGAAAAACGAAGAGTCTGAGGACCTAATCCGACTAGACTCAACCTCGGACATGGACGACTTCGATCCCTTGAAATCATCGTCTTCGACAACCACCCCCGGTCATTCCGACCACCTCCCGCTGTCGATCACCAACCCCCTGTACTCGTACGAGAACCACACCCCCAAACGGGAATGGACCAGCAAAGAGGACACCTCCCAATGGAATTTGGTCAATTGCTTTCAGTATTCATCAGAATTTGGTCATGTTTTCTTCAGAAACTGTGTTTTCTTGTCAGAATTTGATCACTCGTCAAAATTTGGTATATTTATTAAAAATGTCTTCTATTAGGCTTTGATTACTTAACCGAGGGTTTGTTGAGATTTTTTCAGTTTCAGATATCTTCTTCGCCAGAATTTAGTATTCATTATGACGATGTTTAGTACAGCAACTTTTTCTTCAGAATTTAGCCACTTCATGACTGAATTTGGTCTTCATTGTGGCATTTCATAGACCGGCAGAGAAATTTAAATTATCTTTGTCCAGAAAAACGAAGAGTCTGAGGACCTAATTCGACTAGACTCAACCTCGGACATGGATGACTTCGATCCCTCAAACGGGAGTGGACCAGCAAAGAGGACACTTCCCAATGGAATTTGGTCAATTGCTTTCAGTATTCATCAAAATTTGGTCATGTTTTCTTCAGAAACTGTTTTCTTGTCAGAATTTGATCACTCGTCAAAATTTGGTATATTTATTCAAAATTTCTTCTATTAGGTTTTACTCAACTGAGGGTTTGTTAAGTTTTTTTTCAGAATCAGGTATTTCCTTCGCCAGAATTTGGTATTCATTATGGCGTTTTCTAGTATTGCAACCTTTTCATCAGAATTTAGCCACTTTATGACTGAATTTGGTCTCCATTGTGTCATTTCATAGTCCTGTAGAGAAATTTAAATTCTCTTTGTCTAGAAAAACGAAGAGTCTGAGGACCTAATCCGACAAGGCTCAACCTCGGACATGGACGACTTCGATCCCTTGAAATCATCGTCTTCGACAACCACCCCTGGTCATTCCGACCACCTCCCGCTGTCGATCACCAACCCCTTGTACTCGTACGAGAACCACACCCCCAAACGGGAGTGGACCAGCAGAGAGGACACTTCCCAATGGAATTTGGTCAATTGCTTTCAGTATTCATCAGAAGTTGGTCATGTTTTCTTCAGAAACTGTGTTTCTTGTCAGAATTTGATCACTTGTCAAAATTTGGTATATTTATTCAAAATTTCTTCTATGCAGGTTTTGATTACTCAACTGAGGGTTTGTTAAGTTTTTTTCAGAATCAGGTATTTCCTTCGCCAGAATTTGGTATTCATTATGGCGTTTTCTAGTATTGCAACCTTTTCATCAGAATTTAGCCACTTTATGACTGAATTTGGTCTCCATTGTGTCATTTCATAGTCCTGTAGAGAAATTTAAATTCTCTTTGTGTAGAAAAACGAAGAGTCTGAGGACCTAATCCGACTAGACTCAACCTCGGACATGGACGACTTCGATCCCTTGAAATCATCGTCTTCGACAACCACCCCCGGTCATTCCGACCACCTCCCGCTGTCGATCACCAACCCCCTGTACTCGTACGAGAACCACACCCCCAAACGGGAGTGGACCAGCAAAGAGTGCAGCCGGAAAGACAGGGATTTGCTGGAGGAGTACGGCTTGGACTTTAGCTTTACGAGTGTTCCGAATCAGAACGGGTTGGAGCCCTTCAGTGCTGCTGCCAAAGTGAATTTGCAGGGCCAGTGGACCAAGTTCGAGTGAGTGGCATTGTGCAATGTTGTTTTTTATTTAGAAATTTTATTTATATACAGATCGTTCGCAAGTTTGTGATAGACAGTTTTAGTCGAATAAACCATGGGTTTGAAAAGAGTTCTAGTAACGAATTAAGGAAGAAAATGAGTCACCTCCACCACATATTTCGTTTTCAATAGTTCCAAGATATGTTTCAAACTTGAACACGTCTATCTTCAGTCTAAATTATATGAAATTCTACAAAGATCTACACTTTAATAGTTATTCAAATTTTTCATTAGTCTTTACATCTTCATTTGTGGAATTTTATAATACTTTTAGGTAGTCTGAAAATAAATATAGACTTGTTTTTGAGTCAGAAACATTTTTTGTCTGAACTGTTGATTATTGATCACAATAATTGAAGTTCATTTGAAGAAACATTTGAAAATTCATCATTTTTTTAAACAGAAAAGAACAATATCACATTAATGCTGTGGATTTTACATAATGATGGTATAAATCATCACAATTTCAAGTCTTATGTAGCTTTAAGGAAAATGGGCTATGAAGTTCCTTATTTTTTTCAAAAACTTGGATAATTTCGATTTCAATTGTCTATGTCTATAATACTTGGTTTAAATTTTATTGTTATTATTTGAAGAAGTGTCAGTATTTCATAATTATTATAACAGGTTTTGTTGAAGAACATATTATCACTAGGAAAGATAAGATACTGTATATCTATGAATCAAAAGACACTGTGTTGATATTTATTTATAAAGCATAGAATTAGCTGTGATAGAGGGTTGATATCTATGAATTGTGCAACTTCAACAATTAACTACATCGGAACAGCATATCCAACAAAAAATCTCTGTAGACAACTTACACAGGGTGAGTCAACCAATAGGCAAAGGGCGGATTGTTTGGATCAGAATATGGACCAAATATGCCTCAATAATAAAATTTTGCTATGGATACAGGGCCTTGAAGTTGAATTTTTTCTTCCGTTGTTTTGTTCATTAATTCACTATATGTTTATCGATTGTTGTCGAAATCGGTACAGAGGCATGATTTTATACAGGGAATATTATTTTATGTATTATTCTACAGATTTTTACAGGTGGCGCCACATGGATGATTCCTGATGATGAAATCGACTGGTAACTTTATTTGACGAAACTTTTTAGTGATTTTGATTAGAAAATATTACATAAACATCATTTTTACTTAATACTGTCACTCCTGTTTGAACAGGATATTTTCATCCGTTTCCGAGAAAAACGCAATTGAACAGTTTCAAGTCTTGGAAGGGGATTTCAAATAATATTCAATTCAAGAACAGTGTGTTTTGGACTGTCAAAAAGTTGCTACATTTCTTGTCAGTGAATGAATTTTGGTGCGAGTTTATAGTCAACACTTTTTCCATTGAAACGTCTTGTGTCTTTTTCCACGGCAATATATTATTAAGGCACTAAAAAAGTGACACTATTGTTCAGTTGTTCTTTTCATTATTTCATAATAATTATCATAACATAACATATTATCATAACAATTATTGTATGTATAACATTATGCATATTGTTTATGTATCCCTATTATAAACAACTATGTTTCTTGGGGGTAATGAAGACAATCAATCAATAATGAAAAAATCGCTGCTGAGAGTTACGAAAATGTTTGCAGAAGTAATAGTTCTTGTGTGAAAAAAGTGTCACTTAAGTAGTTTTCCATACTCCCTTTAGAATAAAGTTTTTTCCAGAATTGGATAATGAAGACTAATTTGAGGGGAGTGCCCTGCTTACAGATGGTAACACTGTATGTGATGAGTGAATATAGAATGTACTTTAAACTATATATTCTCAATATTTATTCTATATCTGATCACAAAAAAAGGATAATTACTCAGTAATTACATGAATTTCAGTGGTTCCTTCCTTTGTATTTTTTTTTAGATTTTTCTAGTGTTGAAATTGTACAATCATAGACAATAACCCTAACATTTATATTTTATTTCCATGTTTAATACCAATTTATTATTATTCAGCACAATGAGAAATAAATGATATTTAATGATATTTGCCATTTTCAAACTCAACAAAAAAAGCCAATCACAGGGACAAATATATTACCCAAATATATAAAAAGGTTGCAGTAAGTATTATAATAAAAAATATAATTCTCAAATGGCCTTGTGTTAATTATTATAATATATGATATCAAAAGTCCAGTGTTAATTACTAATTAATAAAAAACAATAATACAAGCTGTGTTCAACAACTCAATTCCATATAGTACCTATAGGGTATTAACTATTTATGAAACATTTAGAATAAGTATGTTTTCAAACACATCTTGATAGATTGACATCTAATTTGTACTTATTATAGGTTGATTATATATCCACATAGCTGGTTGGGATATCATTCCAAAAAACAAATTTATATTCTTGAATTTTGGTGAGTCATATTAGCAATGTTTTTCATTGATTATACTTTTGTAGGTAATCCAATTCATGATGTTTTCTATCATATTGGTATTTATGATAATGATAGTCTGATCCATCAGTATTCCAGGCAATGTACATATATCCAGTCATAATTGTGGCTAATAACAGCCTGTCCAAGCTGAAATGAATTTTGGAAATCAAGAGACAATTTCTGGAAATGAGACATCTTACCTCATTATTGGATACATCCAGAATATAAGAACAAAAGCAAGGAAACTAGGGTGCCTCATATGGCTATTGAGCCTTTGTAGTTGTACTGATTTTCTACTATTGGGATCTGGCAAATTTACAATACTGTAATAAACCTGAAAGAAACTGATTTTGTGCATTCCAAAGATCATCTAGAGGCCATTATTCACCTGTTTCATGCCTAATAGTTCTGTGACATCACAACAAATGTTTCCAACATAAATGGTAACCCATGCCACAACATGGATTGATGCATAGATCCAGAAAAATGGTCTGTAGTCAAGGTTGAATTGCCACAATACCACATCATGAGTGGTCTTCCAATGTTTCATTAAATACTGCAAAGGAATTATTGTGGTAATTTGTTCATAGTAAGTAGAATTGCATTCCATTTACCAATAATATTCCTGAAGTAGCTATCACATACACACTACGAAATATCACTTGAAGACCATTGTCATTGAAAGCTTCTTTGATCTTTTGAGAGGCAAATAAAGAATGCTGGATGATGAATAAGGTCAACAAAGCCATATTTTGCAAGAGGGATCTTGAAGTTCTCAACCAAATCTCTGGAACCAAACATTTCTGGTTTATGAAAGATATCAACCTTTTAGTAGAAAAAATTGACATTCTTCAATAATTGTGTTGATTGTTTTTTGAATGCTGTATTATTTATATGAATCCAACTTTACCTTCAGGATATTTAACATTGTTGGAGTGATATTTCAATGTAGAGGTGAAGCATGTCAATTCAGTAACCATATAAAAAGTTGCAATTATACCAAATCCACATAGCAATATTTTTGCTGAATTGAAAACATTCTCTCGAAAAGCCATTTGCTTTTATTTTTGATTGCTGAATCTAAACAAAAAATAAATAGGGTTGATGGTTCAAGTATTTCTTCTTCTCTTTTAAATTTAGTTAGTGGCTGGCACCTGGGCACCGTATTTACTAGTCTGTTTCAGTATTTCAGGGGTAGTTTGCCTTGAGAGATGATCATTTTTTTTCAAATGTAGTTATGAAGATGAAGAACATAACCTCAAAACCTCATTAGTTTTCAAACAACCGAATATCCAAATCCATGTATGGATACATTATTTTTTCAAATAACGATTAGGAGTTTGAATTAGATTGTCCAACTATGGATTACAGAGAAGAACAGAAAAGTGAAATTGAAGCTTTGGAATCTATATACTTTGGCGATTTTGAAATATTATCCTCCGAGCCATACAAATTCTCAATACCAATTAAAACAGAGGAGTACGACCCGGATTCTGAGGATCAGAGTGGATTGAGCTGTGATCTCGTTATTACTTATACTCCAAAATATCCGGAGGAGCAACCCATAATAGAGATAGAGAATCCTGAGAATTTTGAAGAAGGATATGAACATAATTTGCTCTTGTACCTCAGTCAACAAGTGAGGGAGAATCTAGGAATGGTTATGATTTTCACTATAGTTTCTTCCGCGCAAGAGTGGTTGAATGTAAAGTATGAGGATACCAAGAAAGATAAGGATGAACGAGCTGCTAGGAAACTGCTAGAAGAAGAGGAGGCAGAGAGGCAACGTTTTGAAGGCACAAGGGTCACAGTAGAGACGTTCATGAGATGGAAAAAGATATTTGAAGATGATATGGGTATTACAAAGAAGAGGGAAATTGCTGAGAAAGAGGGCAAAAAATTGACCGGGCGAGAGTTGTTCATGACAGATAATACACTCAATGAGTCTGATCTCAAATTCTTAGATGAGGGGGATGCTGTTAAAGTAGATGAGTCATTGTTCCAAGATTTGGATGATTTGGATTTGGATGATGAAGATGATGAAGACTTTGATCCTAATAATTATGATAGTGAATCTTCACAGTAATGATAGGTAGGTAGAGATATTTTGTTTATACATTCAAATACATTGTTTTAATATAGGTATATGAGAACCAATATAATTTTATCATTATGAAAAACATAAAGTACCCCATAATTCCTATAACATGAATATGGCTGAGGGTGGCATTGATATTTCAAATTTGAAAATCAGAAAATTCCATAATCTAAACTAATAAATCAAAACAAGGATAATATACCTACTGCATCAAATCATTCAATAAGGAATCAAGGATGTGTGATGTGTGGTCTAAACTAGAGTTCCTTAATGTACTTGACACTGCTGTTTTGACGTTTTTTGATATACATTTAGGAACTCTAGTCAATACCTGCAAATCAGTCTTGGTTTTTTTCGATTTGTATTGTTCTGTGTCAAAGTTCTGTGTAACATGCCTAGAGACGTTCTGTGTATAGAAGAATCATAGAAAAATCTCTGCATGGTTCAAACTTCCATGAGTTCTATGGTTCTATGCATTCAGGTTCTATGATTCTTTATTTCTGTGCTCCAGCTGTGATCCTCCAGCTGTTCACTGTCAAGTTGTCAAGTTTTTAGAAATGTAAATACTGCTGATGAGTGATGATGAAAGTTTGAACTAGTTTGAAGTTTAAACTGCAAATTCCGAGGAAAAATCGATAAATCTGAATGAATATTAGTGCTGTTATAAAATGTTTACTTATTTCAATGTATGTGCAGTGTGGTGCAAATTCAAAATAATAGTAAGTAAGTATGTACTCACCCCCAGAGAACCCCTCATCACAGATTAACAAATCATGAACCCAAAAGAGGGGTAAATCAGCCAATAAATTATTATTTCTAAGTACGTTTCTACTTCATATGCTCAGTAACTTCATACCCTACCAAAGAATTGAGGAGAGAAAATTCTAATATCCTGAACCAGAGTATCCTTTGATGAAAACCAATGGAAACTTCAGGAGAATATATTTAAGTGATGGGATCACTGTACTGACTTTAGGCTTATAAATTTGACCACAAACAACTTTTTCATTTTACATATATCAAATTTACTATTTTTTTGATTTCTTGCTTTGACTCTTGAATTGCTCAGTAATTTGCTAGTTCTCTCCAAAATTGCCTCTCTCGTTCTCTTCAATGTCTGAGAATTTTGAGAAGTTCCCAGGGATGGTTCTTCATTTGTGTTTGATACTGATGAAAATTATCTTCCTGAGATATCTCAGAAAATGTGTCCCAACTAGATGAACTCCCAGAATCATAGCAGAGATTTCTGAGGAACATTTCCCGTGACAGGAGCTATAGAAAATTGAAAAGTCTCCGGGTTTTCTACGGTGTTCTAATGGGGTCAAAGAGTTGGTGAGTGTAGCATCACTCACCAGGCGAATGGCTCATCTCTGGATGGACTCTAAGGGCATAAGCATATTATGTTTGGGTTGCTGAACCCCATACATGAGAACAGTATTTTAAAACTGGTCGTATCTGTGCTTTGTAGATCACGAGAATCTGTTGAGATGTTAAGTAGATTTTCGTATGGAATAAGAATCCGAGTTTTTGTGAAGCAGCTTATTTTCGAATTTTTGTTCTATCGGTTCAGGTCTGCATTCTTCAAGGATTGAAAAACGGTAACAGAACAAACTGGATTTGAAACGAGTTGTGTCGGACTATCCATTCCGAATATCACGATGTTCTGAATATTCGAGATAATTCTGTTGCTTCATCGTTCACGAAATTGTGTCACAATTTAAATCCAGACTTTGCTATCCATGGTTACATCGTAGAAAACATCAACTCTGATATAGACACGCTATGCGCCCGTGTGGTTGCCAAGCAACATAATTTCCGAATAATTTCCTACTCAAAATCAAAAGAATTTTTCGATAATCTTCGATTAAACGAGCAGTTGTATTTGATAAGATTATTTCAAGAATAAATTAATAACTCTGGCAAACTTTTATATACGCATATTGAATGCCCATTCCGTGAGGATATCTGCAAGTTTTTCATCGGATATATTTTCTTTTAGTCGGTGATTTCGTTGATTGCAAAATTCTGTGAATTGTTTCCAGATATATTTTCTCGATCGCACGGTATTTCTTATTTCTTCGAGATTCTAATCATCGGTACTATGGACTTTTATTTTCGAATCAACAAACTTTGTTGTTTTCCTGCCACAGCCCTCTAGCTCTATTAACCCCGCTTCATCGCGCTCCATCAACTATAGACCATCAACAGAACGCCTATGCAACTAACAAAACAATACTCAGCATTGTGGATACCAGAGATATGTTCGATTGGTTTGCGGCTGCCGTATATATATACAGGGTGACATAGAAAAAAGTACATTGCATAGTGCCACACAATAGATGACACTAAAATAAGGAAAAAAGTTCCTATGAACATGGGTCCGCAAGGCCTTCGATTAAAAGATACGGGGTGTTGAATTTTAACGGAAAAATGTATTGTAGTACAAGTGCAACAATTTGAACATCTTCTAAAAACTCAATGTTTTGTTCTAATTAATCATATTCTTCATCATAGCATTAAAATGTAATTGTTGAAGTATTTATCATTGTTTTTGCAAAAGTTACTTTGGCGCTTTTTGAATAATTTGCGTGCATTGTCGGCTTTTAGATGCATTTGTACTGGAACCATTGCTTCTAGCGACTTGGACAAGGTATACCTTTCTTAAGTATAAAAGAAGGGATAACAATTTTTTTTCGTCGAAAATGACATACAGTGTATAGCAAAAAATTACGACCTATTCAATAGGGATGGATGTTTGTATGTAGCGCCCTCTATCAGTCATTACAAAACTAAGATCATATTTGAATTTAGCATGATAAAAAAACTCCTGTATACCACATTTTATCCATTTTTTGCGTCTCTGGCTAAAGATATTCAAAGAAAACCCCCCAAAAAAATTAAATTCAACACCCCGTATCTTTTAACCGAAGGCCTTGCGGACCCATGTTCATAGGAACTTTTTTTCTATTTTAGTATCCTCTATTGTGTGGCACTATGCAATGTACTTTTTTCTATGTCACCCTGTAGAGTCGATGCGTCGACATGCGTCGACGGTACTGACTTCCACAATCCACCACAATACACGTTACTGCCATTTTTTCTTTAAAATCATACTGAGTTTTCATTATTCTCAATCAATCTAAACAAAACTGAATAAAATAATACTATGAAAGGCTTCCAAAACCCACACAAGTAAACAAACGTGTCTTTGGTTTGTTTGCCAACCAGACGCCATTTTGAAAATTATTTGACAGGTCGTTGGATATTGCCTAATTTATTGTCGTTTGCCGTTTTGTCGTACAAGAAAGGTTAGTTTTTGGCAGAAGTTTGAAGTTTTAATTGTCATTTTGTAATTATATCATGACAGCATCGACAGTGTTCTGGTAAGTCATTATTATTTTTTGTTTTATAAACTGCCAATGATGAGGCGAAATACAGAATCGAAAACACAGCCCTGTAGGTATCCAGTAGCCAATCAACTGCCGAAATACAAAAACGAAAACATCAATTATGTGATGAGTGAAATGATCAGAAAAAGAACTTGACAGAAAATAATAACAAAAATATATCAAAGATCCTATGTAGCGAAAATTATTCGAGGACTCTCTGTTTGACGCAGGCGCGCCACTGTTGATGGTCCAAACGCGTCACCTTTGACATTTAAACTCGAGCCGGGCCACGCTGATACTTATTATCCAGAATATCCAGAATGCAGATCGTCCAGATACGATTCATACTCGATGGAACGTTATTTGGAATCTATGGAATTTAACTATAGGTATCAATCTTTTTTCTTTCGGCGACCTTTCTATCCATGCTCATTCCTTGAAGTACAATATTTGGTACTAATAAAGGTGGTAATAGGTATAGGTACTAAATTAAGTAAGAAATTCAGGACCGTATTCCAAAAATTACTTGATGATAGCCAAATTAAGCTCGAAAAGCATCCAAACCACGATATGTCGAAATATCAAAATATCAGGGCTGTATATTCGAAAAATCGAAATCGATGATGGTTACTCAAAGACGAAACGTAAATCTTCATATTTGGGTGTTTACTATCTGTAGTTCAGGGATTTCCAATTCTTATTTTAATAAATAAAATTATTAAAATGTTATATTTGGAACATAAATCTCTTCAAGAGCGAATAACACAAAAACCGTTTGATAAAGAACAAATTTTTCATGTGAAATTGAATAAGCTTTCAGATTTTCCACTTATTTTGATCATCAATGAAATGACATAGAAGATATGATGTGAATTATCGAAGTAATAGATTGCCACTAGCACCCTCTATGAGCAATCACGAAATAAGTTGCAAATTCATATTTCTCATGTCTGAAAACCTAGAAATTTAAAATTTCATGTTCATGCTGTTGAAACTAACAAAGTTATTGTGGAATTTTGAAATAAAATCTCCCCCTAGAACACCCTGTATCTTCTAAACCAACAACATTCTCATCAGACATTTGGGGCTAAATCTCATTATTTTGTGTTTACTATCTATTGTTCAGAGATTCTCCATTCTTAATGAATCACCCTGTATATACAGGGAGTTCCTTAATGTGATTCTTCGACCCATTTCAAGAATAAAACTTCATATGAACGTATGTCGTAAACGTCCTAACTTTTGAGATACAGGGTGTGAATGTTGAAAATATGCATAGATTTTTTTTGTCCACCCTGTATAGCTTTTCGTGATGGCAAAATTCAGTCTGCTATGTGACTGACTCGGTATATAAATTTCAAAATGTTACATACTGTGAGTATTTTGATGTCTGAGTATACTATGACATCCTAATTTGAAGTCTGGTCTCGTTTTTCTAAAAAAAAAAAATAGATTGTTTTATTAGGATCAAAAGTGACACTTTGTTTTACAAGCGAATTTTGCATTTGCGAGGCGGAGCGTTCAGCGAAGCCGAGCGAAAGCAAAATTTGCGAGTCGAACAAAGTCACTTTTGATCCGAATGAAACATGCTATTTTTTCTGCAAAACCGAAACAATTAACTCAAATAAACATGTGAAGTAACCACCAATGCCGTGCCATATGTATGCAATGCAACAAATATTGACAAATAATCCATGTAGTGAGAATATTCTACCTGCATTAACAGCAGGTTAGGTTTTCTAGGATGTTCGAATTGTAGTTTCAATATAAATACAACCACAGAGTGACATATTTGTGTATGGACCATAGGTGCTCTAATGGCAAATACCGCGCCAGTGCCAGCTATAGGAACAAGACGTGGAAAATGTTAGGTTAGTGAGCATATCAACAATGATAATAGTGATTATTTATTCCTCTCCATACTTCACTATGTTTGACTTGATAATCAAATGAAGCTAAACAATATCGTTGTGTGAGACAAAAAAACTATTGCTTGCCGTGATTATTCAAAAACAAGTTATCCATCCCGAGAATAACGAATGAAATACAGATCAAGCAAGTATTTGAATCTTCAAGGCTTCCTTGATCAAAACAAAAATACTCAACTGAGATGTTTATAATTTCAATATTAAACTATAGTGAGGTGTATTTATATCTCCAGCATGGGTATGAAATGCCAAATCTGCTGAAATCGGAAACAAATCAGGTATGCGTCTCAACCCAAATAACCAACCGTCACAATGTTGTTTATTCTTGATGACGTCCAGTACATCCTTTTTAGTTCCTAGGAGCTAAAGTTTAACTTCAGCTCCTAGGAACTAAAATTTAAC